TATCTATCTAAGTCTCTTCGTATATTAGTCTCTTCGTATCTATGCATCTTAGAGTCTGTCTATATTTCTGAGATGAGGTATTATGTACAGTATTTACATTAGTCGGACTATTGTCCTCATCTTTGTCGCCATATTTGTCACAACGTTTCGGCCGTTGTAGGCTCCGTCCTTCTCAAGGACACATGGCACAGTGGATAAAGGCGTTGGTTAGATCCAGTGACAGACCCAAAGAAGGTGAGTTCAATACCTGGTTAAGGCAGTGGAGAACTTTCAGAGGGAAAATTAGCAGGAGATAACTGATAACTGACATCCATCAAACATGGCACGTGGAACTAGAACAGTCTCCCCCAGTGATCGAAATAAAGGGTTCAGTTCGAAATTCCAACCACCTGAAGAAGGCCGGAGCGTACAACGGCCGAAACGTTGTGACAAATATGGCGACAAAGATGAAGACAATAGTCCGACTAATGTAAATACTATCCATCTTAGTCTCTTAGTTTCTATCTATCTATCTATCTATCTATCTATCTATCTATCTATCTCTTTTCAGTCTGCTCGTCTACCTCTCATACACACGCTGTCTGTCTGTCTGTATCTCTATCTTTTTGAATCTGCGTATATAAGAAAAGCATATTCGGATGCAGATGGGGGCACCTTGTGGCAGGGTAATGGTTAGCAAGCTCCTGTCTCTAGAACAATTACGTCTAAGCAGTGAGTTCGATCCTCAATGTGTGCCCCATACTTTCGGCCTTGTGCCACATCTAAGCTACGCTTGGAAAATCACTATTCGGATCGAGATGAAGTTCGATAAAAAAATTCGGTTAAATGGGCCATGTCAAAAAGCTGGCTAATCTAACCTGACTTTTCACTTTCCCGTTCAGCATGTATACAGTGATCATCATCACTTTTCCCAAGATTCCATCGACTACTCACAACGATTAACAGCAAAAATTCGAACTACATTCGGTTCATAGGCACCTTTTTGTTTAACTTGCGCCGTGTATGCTTAAAAGTATATTCCTGTGGCTATCCAATGAAGCAGGTAATAAATGTTTCATCCATATCAGGAGTTGGGCATTTCATACGTGTAAACAAATGTGTGGATGAGGGGCGCTTATCTTTGGGATCTCACACACATAGTTGAGTGTTTTCCACTTCTTTGAAATTCTCTTTCAGTCATACTATCCTTAATCTCGTTCAAGGTTTGAGTCATCTCCTATTGCAACAGTGGTTCTTCTGCTACTATGTGTCATGTTCGTTCAGAATGTGGGTGATCATAGCTAATCACCACCTCTTATATATTTAAGCTCTAAGTTTTGTTTTTCCGTTCTGTTACCCATTTACAGTTAATCGTTAGGTCCAATTTCCACTACGATAGAAAAAAAATCAATAAAAACGATCCAATTTTGAAGAGAACGATTAAGGACGATGAAAAATATTTTGTTTACAACAAGGTGGAGCGAAAAATGTTCAAAATCCAATCTCCATCCAAAGAAGATGACGCTGAATATATTGTGTGATTTGTAAGGGCATTGGGTATATCAAGCTCCTTTTACAAAATCATACGTTGAATTCAGACAGGTTCTTTTCAAAAACTGGTCAATTATAGACAACACTTGTCGAAAAGCTTCCGGAATTAGCCAACTATTAGTGCAATGCCTGACCCCACGCTTCAGTGCAGATATGGTAGAAATTGTTAGAATTTGACAGGGTTTCCCTTACTACAAACGCCGTAGTCACATGAGTTTGTATTTACAGATTAAATCTTATTTCGATCTCTACAAAATTCTCTTAATAAGAAGAACTTCAGTTCTCTAAAAAAACCTATAAATGCCTCTCAAGCCCAAACAATTCTCACCCAAAAGGATGGAATCAGGAAACCACTTCAAAGATCGTAAATGTTAGTGGAACAAAATGACGTATATGTGATTGAATAAATCTATGTACACAGATAAATATTGTCTTTGAAATTCATTTAAAAACGCTATGATCTTTTGTTCTGATTGAATAATAGTGTAATTGAAAAGGAAAGGGAGAAATGAAGAGATTTATCTGGTGACCAAAATATAATGAAAGATATTTATTTTTTCTTCACAGAAAATTTATAGAAGGTAGTTCCAGTCAACCCGATCTGATTAAAGGAGTGGGGGAGTCAAAATTTGCATATGTGTTCGAAGAGAGATATACCAAAAAAGTTCTGTCCGTTTTTAAAGGAAAAAAAAGAAAACGCTTCACAGTATGTGTAACTTCTATTTAGTCTTCGAAGTAATCACCATCGGCATCCAGCACCTTCTGCCAACGTGTCTCAAGCTGTTCAATGCACTTGCGGTAGCTCGAGGGGGTTTGACGCAAAGAAGTCCGTGAGGGCTTTGCGCAAGTCTGCTTCATTGGTGAAGGATTTCCCACGAAGATGATTATCCAGGGAGTGGAAGAGGTGGTAATCGGATGGCGCAAGGTCGGGTGAATAAGGTGGATGGCACAAAGTCTCCCACCCAAGTTGCTGTATGGTATTCCTGACCACTGGCGCGACATGCGGCTTGACGTTGTCATGAAGGAAAAGCACACCTTTGCGATTCACCAGTGCTGGCTTCTTCTGGCGCAATGCCTGTTGCACATGTTTTAATTGCTGCGAGTATAGGTCTCCAGTGACCGTTTGGCCCCTTGATAGCAGTTCATGATGAACCACTTGACGACCTGTCCACCAGACAGAAAACATAATCTTGCGTGAGAGCATAGTCAGCCTTGTGGTGTGAGGGACAGCATCCTGAGGAGACAGCCAATGTCTGGAACGCTTGGGAGTTTTGTACAGAACCCACTTTTCATCATTGGTAAGCACTCGATTGAATAAGGATGCGGTATGGTGGCGAGAAAGCAGCGATACACAGGCTGCCAATCGTTGTCCCTTGTGGACCTCCAACAGCGTTTACGGAACCCACTTGCTCAGTTTGTACGTCTTACCTCGGCGGTGCAGGTGAAGTCTAACTGTGTCATCGGAAACATTGAACTGTCTTGCAAGTTCACCACACGTTAGACTAGTGTCCTCTTCAATGGTCGCCTTCAGGACTCCGTCATTCAAGACCCGTTGTCGTCCACTGCGAGGCTCATCATGGAGAGACATATCTCCCGACTTGAATTTTCGAAACCAACGCCTTGCAGTACGTTCATCCACAGCACTATCCCCAAACACTTGACATGTGTGGCGACTTGATGCAGCTGCTGATAAGCCCACTTTGAAGTCGTAAAGCAAACAGCCCCGAATGAGATCTCTAGACACTTCTATCCTTCTCACAGCTCTCCGGCACGGTGCGCATGTTTTTTTTATAACGTCTGATGTTCCTACTTCCGGCTTTTCGAATTTGAAAACAATTGCTACACGCATTTCGTATATATTTCAACTTCATTCAATGACTAATCAAAAAACGGACAGAACTTTTTTGGTTACCTTGTATAAAATGCTAAAAACAATTAGCCAAAGCCTGTATTTTTCTACCTTCGTTACGACCTTGCTTTCTCTCTCTCGTCGCTGACTGGACGTGTTACCGGAACTGTTGATAAGAGTCCTAACTCTTTATTTTATATCATTACTTCTACAAGGAGAATTACTTGTAGGCAACATATAGTGTTTTTTGTTGCAATTTGACACAAACGATTGCCACCATGAGATTACGTCAGTTACAAGAAAGAATTCATTATCATTTCTTTCTTTCTGCCCTGAGTTTCACTTCAAATGCTAATAGTTGCTATTATAGTTTTTCTACCTTTCCTTTCCAATAACAGTCGGACTTGAAATCCTGACAGTATTTAATTTTAATTTCAGATATATAAACATTTTCATGGGTCGTAAGAAATATATTAGCTTAAAAGAGAAACAAGATATTGTAAAGCTGTAGGGATGAAAATATGACGTTGGAAATTGCAAAAATATTGAAAAGAGATCAGAGGATAATAAAACAAATGCTGGAAACATTGTCAAGATAAAATCAGAGAAAAAATCTGGCTATAAGAATATAGTATTAAAAGAGATTTGAAGTGATTAAATGTAGAAATCAATTAAAAGCTACCAAAATTGGCCTTCGCCAGGATATCATCTTCGTTCAGGACGGCGTCAGACCCTACGTTTCCCGATGGAATTTGGCACCGTTTGGCTGGGATGTCCTGCTACACGCGTTTGACTCGCCTGACTTTGTATATTCAGTAGACTACTTATTTTGATACGGACAAAATTCTCTTTTTGATAGATTGTTCTAACAATCCGAACAACGTAAATAATGTAAATATTTATATATAATGTTGATTACTTTTGGGACCAACAAGATTAAAATTACTTCAACAATAGCATCCAATTACCGCAAAGGAGGGGGGACTATGTTGAAAAATAAACCTCATTTGGTCATATTTCGTGAGAGTATCTTGGTTAACCTATGGACTTTTCAGCCGACCCTCGTATATACAATTTTTATTCCGCTGGACAAAGTGAAATGCAACGAAACGAAAGTCTTGATACAATGTATTGAGTTTCACTAAAGTGAAGATAAAGAATTTTTTAAATAATATAGAGGTTAAGGAACCGATTAATTAATACGTTTCCTTTGTATTTCTTAGACGTTCAATGGTATCCGTGATTCATTGATTATTTCATTATATGAATCGCTTTTTTTAATTTATGAATTTAACATAACAGTGAAATGGAAATGTCTCTCAGAAGAAAAAGGTTAGCAACAGAACTAAAAAAAAGTTGCTGACGACAAAGCCTATTTAGAGACCGAGACAATAACAAAGGTATCTGAATGCCTCAGCTGAAAAGCTTGAACAAATAAGACTGCAATCTAACAAACGTTGGAGTAAAGCAACTGATTAATTAAGCGGTTCATTTGGCCCGGGAACTAATTTTGTCTAAATGCAGATAACTATTTTATTTGTATAGATTATTAAAACGACTAAGGGAAGTAATAGATCATAAATGTACTAATATAAGTTTATTTATCTCCCTTCCCTCCGCTTATGGTCACATCACGTTGAAACAACGGTTCCCGTACGGTCAACGAAGTTAAGCAACGTCGAGCCTGAACAGTACGTAGATGGATAACCGATTAGGAATACCTGGTATTGTAATCTTGGATGTGTGGGTGGTGTAATGGATAGTGGCTGGGAATTATTAATCGGAATACCGATTTCGAATTCTTACTGGCTTCGTTACATCCACACGCAACTATCATTGGGAAAGATATGGATCCACCTCTTCTCCCCCAGCTATGAGTTAATTAGTAAGACTTTTATCACTAAACTATTATTATCTAGGAAAAATTTTACAATCTAAAAATATATTTTTTGATTTAAATAACCTGCAAAGAGTTGGTAAGCCGTCGAAAACAATTCAAATAATCAATCAATTAACTCCCTTCCATCCACAGATGAGACAGGAAATATATAAATACACATTGAAAATTATTATATGGTTTGATTGTCTTTGAAATTCGTTTAAAATACACCGCGAATTTTTGTTCCGATCTAGATATATGTAGTGGCAATAACTTAATTAGGTTGACGTAGGACAGCGATTTGTGTGTTTTATAACCTGGAATGTTATGCTGTCAAATGTTTATCTCCTGGCAAGGTCCAACTTAATCAGTCAGGGTAATGGGTGGGAGCCAGAAAAAGTTTAGTTATCTAACAGAGCAAACCTTGGTGACAAAGAACTTGAATCATTTCATTGTACAGATCGGCCAGCACCATTGGCTTAGAATGCAGTGATTAATGATAATGACTGGTGATAAGCGACTCTGTCAATAAAAACAACGCTGATCAACCTATTCTAGTTTCTAGATGAATACTGCGGTTTTTAATAAATTTTTTTTTAATAATTTCAGAACTTACGATAAAATCAAGCCTATTCAAATGTAAATTGATAAGCTCTCGTTGCTAATCTAGTCAGTTAGGCGATCATGTATCTTTCGATACATGACTGACGAAACAGATGTTTTCCCCGCAGTAGGTTGCCATTTCTTTCTACGGTAGCCATCCAAGGCTATAGAATCCGGTCTCTCCTGCTATTTACCCATAAGAAGAGGATTCGTACCTTTCCCATGGGTATTAGCATGTAAGTGAATGTAATGGATTCGACTGGAATCTGATTCCTCAATCCGAGCCGCTATCCATTACTCCACCGTGCCTAATCTAGTACTGGGCTTAAATTCATAAAGTGTATGTACCATAGCAAAGATCCCATCCGAACAATTACTATGAAAGTATTCAGAGAAAGGGCAAAGGGAAGCAACTTTACAGCGGTAGAAAAAGTGACTGAAGCCGCGACATCAGGTCAGGGCCAATAATGCTACTGGTTCTTCTTTGGATTTTAAGAAACTCTGAATATATAACAGGAACACCGGACAATATGTATCAACAATATTCAAAGCAAGGACGAATCGTAAACTTGTAGTATTCCAGATAGATTATGGAGAAAAAAAATTATTTAGCAAGACACAGTGAACCAACTTTCTTAGTATTGCTGAGCAATAAATTCAGTATAGACTTTGACTTCATGTCAGCCGAAAACGTTAGCCCGTTAAGGCGCAATGAAGTGCGAAAGAAGAAACTTTTAGCATAGAACTTAAGGTTACATGTAGAATTTCAAGTGATGAGACCTAGCTGCCAATCTAGTACTGCACTTAAATTCATAACGTCAAGATATCAAATAGGTAATATCATCACAACAATTACCATGAAAATATTCATAGAAATGACAGAGGGAAGCTACGTCAAGGAGGCGGGAAAGTGACTGAAATCGATGTGCCAGTTAAGGACCAATAACAGATTATTTGCGGCTGTCAGACTAACCGATTAATTTTGAAATTTTGGATTTATTTATGGTTACGTATATCGGTGTTTTGCAGTAGTAGGAGGAAAAATTGTCATCGGAACGCCACTCATATATATATATATATATATATATATATATAATTTATATACATGCACATTATATATATATATATATATATATATATATATATATAATCAACAATATATATATGTGTGTGTGTGTGTTATTCGCAGACAGTAGTGTTTCTCTGTATCACAGCTACTCATTGCGACTAGATATCCGATTGCTTCAAACCATGACCGAAACCCGACCGATTTGGTTTCAGTCAGAGTTTCTACCACTGAGCTATCTTCACTCGGCAGAGAGAAGCAGTTAATTCTAGAGTATTGTTTTTACGAATGCAAACGAACGCCAGTCAGTCAGAGTGCTCCAAATTCATTTTACTGATGAGCTTTGCATTAGCACAGGTGGCTGTTGTTTATAGATATAGCCTATCTTTCAACACCGCTCAAATGAAATCTATTTTCAAGAGCTAAATTATGTCATTCGCAAACTGTATTGTTTCGCTGTACCACAGCTCCTCAGTGCCATTACACATCCGAAACCCGACCGATTTGGTGTCAGTCAAAGTTTCTATCACTAGTTTGTAGGCCATAGAATGTATTGTTGGTAATTTTACTACAAAAATGTATTTTTATATTTTTTTTATGTAGCATTGATTGTCATTTGACATAAAAATGCATTGTTAGTTGTTTTATCATAAAAACGCACTTTTGATTTTTGTTCGAGGCTTAACTATTTGCCCATAACTTCGAGCCTATAAGGTGCTATCACCCCGGTTTAGGGTGGATCTGGGAAGAACATTAGTTAAGAGGTGCTTCTACGTTCCTCAAGATCCTCAATCTCTCGATCAGAGACCTTGCTGCCGGATGTAGATTATCGTCATACTCAGGACGAGATTGCTTGGTAGACTTTGTTGCGCATTGTGCATCATTTCTCAAGTACTAGTTCTTTTGAAATGCATGGCTGTTTCTATACAAGCCTTCATCACTATACTGAAATCCTTTCTGTCGGTAGTATAGCGGTTCAGTGATAAACTGAACCTTTAGGCCACCATAAGTCAAAATCTATGGGAGAGTCCACCAGATAGATAGGCGTGTATATACAAACATTGTTTTTGTTATGGCATATCAACTTCAATGGGTTATTTAATGCCGACAATATTTTTATTACTGGTAATATTTTTTTTCCAAAAATGTATTGTTGGTAATATTCTTTTCCTTCAAAAATATGTTGCTGGTAATATTTTTTTCCTTCAAAAATGTATTGCTGGTAATATAATTTTGCTTCAAAAATGTATTGCTGGTAATATTTTTTTCCTTCAAAAATGTATTGCTGGTAATATTTTTTCTACAAAAATGTATTGCTGGTAAAAATATATTGTTGATAATAATTTTTCTTTGAAAGATTTATTGCTGATATTAAATCCCTTTTTTTACACTTTCATTGTGCTTTAGCACCATTTTAGGGTTTAACTATTTGCCCATAGTTGGGAGCCTAACAGATGCTACCACTCCGGGCCAGGGTGAACCTGGGAACACCAACAATTAAAAGGTGGTTTCCCGCTCCTCAAAACCTCTTGATCAGAGGCCTTGTTGTTGGACGTAGTTTATCGTCTTTCCAGGGACGGGGATGTAGTTTATCTTCATACTCAGGACGGGACATTGTTTTATTTAGGTTTAGATATCAACACGTTCTCATAAAAATGCATAGTATTTTATACTAAATTCAAATACAACGGCAAGCTACCATCGGAAAATCTTCTACCTAGGCAGTCATGAATCGAAAGAGATATGATCGCCCAAGCGTGTATCACGTACGTTACTTTACTCATTGACTTTCTCGTCCGACATGTTAGGACAGGCGTTGAAAAAAAAAAATGAATATATAAAAAAAAACTTGAATATATAACTTATTGAAAAAAACAAAACCAAAAAAACAAAAAAACTCATTTGCTGAAAGAAATTTAACATTTATATCATCAACTAACACTTTCAAACGTTTTCTTCAAGGTTTTATTCAGTTTGATGAGAAAAAAGGCTTCAATTTTTTGTCTGTTCTCCGGTTGGTCACGTGATTTTCTAGCTATGTGGCGGTTAACAAGGTTTTGGATTTTGTGTATATGTTTTAAGTGAAGGTGTGTTCAATATGTAACTAAAGAAGATGGAAGAAGAAGCATACAAAAAATATGAGTTTCGGCTACGGACGTTCATTTCCTTTTTGTTGACTATATTGTCTCTTGATTATGTCTGTTTTCCATTTTGATACAGAAATAATGTATGGAAAATAGGGATAAGAACGGGTAAACATAGAGAAAGAGAAGAGATAAAATCGTAGATGTGACAAGATACCGTTTCCGGTTTCTTTATAACTTGCATCATGGGAAAATTATTTTTTTTGTTCGTTATTATTTTTTTATTTATTGTTTTTTATTTAATTTCCCCCACAGCTGAATGAACGTATAATTATTTGTACGGCTTGTTCTAGTTCTGGTAGAAAACAAGTGTAAAAAAAAAAATCAAATTCAACCCAAGCAAGGTAGTAGAATCATCAGCACACAAGGGTTAACTGAGTCTGAAAGAACAAGAAAAAAAAAAAAAAGAAAAAAAAAGAAAAAAAAAAGAGAAACATTATTAAGAAGCGATAAAAATAGAAGAGTAATCAGGAAGACAATAGATAACGATTGACATATTGATCTTGAATTTATATTTTTTGAAGAGCAAAATTGTCTGGAAAGTATGGACCGGGAAAATGTTCCACAATCAAGAAGTGCGAGAGAAGAAACTTTTAGCATAGAACTTACGGTGACATGTATCCAATTCAAGTATGAAATGATAAAAACAGAGCTGTTAATCTAGTACTATGTTTAAATTCATAAAGTTTAGTTACCATGGAGAAGGGCGATATTTATTTGTAATTATTTACAAAGTGTGGCACAAGGCCAAAATGGGGAAAGGGTGGTATTCATCTGTCTTAACTTTAAATTTAGCCTACCACAAACACTGACCCAAACATACCACAAATAATCCTAGCACTAAAACAATGCATTCTCACTTACCTTTCTTACAGCATTCACCGTAATACCTCATTGTCTTTATGAAAGTTCTAACCAGTCCCCATATGTACAATTCATTGTCTGTGACGGGGTGGGGGAGATAAAATAGCAAGTTAAAAACTAGCACCAATGAATATTTACAATATGAAAACAAAACTGTTTACAAGAAACCAAATAAAAT